CGTTATGCAAATCTTCCCACATCGTGACGTAGATATGTGGGGGCGTGTTTGAACGAGGCGTTTTAGGAGGGCGTGGACGAGTCTTAACTTTTATAAAGAATATCTCTTTGGGTTTGAGACTTTAGTCTTTGCAACTTTAGGGATCGTATCTATTCACGAACAGCTTGTAACACTCCAAAGAGAAAGGAAAACTTGAAATCGCATCATATGACCTCTTTAAAAGGGGGTTGTCTCCAGGTGAGGTGCCTCATCCAAAAAAAAAAAAAAAAAGAAAGAAAGAAAATGATCAACCCAGAAGATTAAGTACAAAAATACAACGTGAAATATTACAAATATACAGTTCTTTTTTGTTTAGTTTATTTCATTTATTTAACATCCTGTCCCTGGGCAGGATGTTGTTACAAAAAATTACAGCACTCCATTACAATAAAATAAAAATGAGAGAGAGAACATCACACTACAATATCACAAATTATAATATCAAATCACAAAAAATACTAAGTGAAGTTTAGTAATTAGTAATTTAGTAAATAAGTTTAGAAGTTTAGTAATTTTTACTACACTCTCTAATATGAACAGGCACTGAAGTTCCTATCCTTATAATTTATAATCTTATCTAATCTTCTTATTATATTACTGTATATTATATTATATTACTAATTTGAATGTCTTTTGAGTGTCACATTGCATGATGCTCTTGTCTTGAACATGTTGCCTTACTGCACAGGCCTCTGACCACTTCCTTGTTCCATTTTGAGCCGGTTTGTGTGCCTCGTAAATTTGCCGGCTAAAATGGTGCTCACGAGAGTCGCTGAAGAAGTGCCGTGAGACGTGTTGCATCGAAATGCCATTTGACTATATATAAAAGTGTTGCGGCTCGAGACCGGATGAGAATCCTTGTGACTGTGCTGTACATGCAAATCACATAAAAAAGGAAGAAAGCCATAGAAAGATGGGCCTGCATGTGAGATTGAGGCCTTAGAGTCAGTGCTCAGGGGAATATTCCTGAAATCAGTATTTAATGCTACTTATTTCAATGTTTTCAATTGTCCGTATGTTTATTTAAACTGAAAATGAAAATCCTGTCATTATTTACTCATCCTAATGTTATTCCAAACCTGTACGACTTTCTTATCATCTGTAAAACATAAACGTAGATATTTAGCTAAATGTTCATGCTGCACTTTTCCCTACAGTGAAAGTTAACGGTAACCAAAGGCTTTTGAGCTTCAAAATGACTAAATTCATCATAAAAGTAGTTCATATAGCTGTATTATAAATCTTCTGAAGTCATACAATAGATTTGTGCGAGGAACAGACTGAAATGTCAGTCTTAAAATAACTACATCTTCATACAAATCTGTCATATGACTTCAGAAGACTAGGAATGTACTGCATGTGAACTTTAATTGTGCTTTTTTTTTGTTATTTGTGGAGCTTGACATCTCATGGCAACCAGCAGCATAAACAGACAACATCTCTTTTTGTGGTCTATACAAACAAAAAATGTAATAACATGATGGTGAGTAAATGATGACCAATTTTCCGTTTTTGGGGTCAACTATTGATGTATTAAAATCTGTGATGTTTTAATTATGAACGTCGGTGTATGTTGAAATGCAGGGGTGACAGAGCCTTTGCTGTTGCTGGCCCCAAGCTATGGAACAATTTGCCATTATCCATCAGAATAGCTTCTTCAGTGTCTGAGTTTAAAAGTCTTTTAAAAACGTATATTTTTTCCCATGCTTTTAATGTTTTGTGACTGTGGTTTCCTAATGAAGTGTTTATTGTGTGATTGGATCAATGTAACTGTGTACAGCACTTTGGTATACTAAGGTTGTATTAAAGTGCTTTATAAATAAATTGAACATTGAACATTGAACATGTTAGGTAGATATACTTTTTAAAAATATTCAAAAAATATGATTTAATGTGACCAAATCAACCTGACTCGATTAGGTTACACTGACAAAAGTAATTTCAAGTGTCAAATCAGTTAAAACACTCTTCTAAAGGTATCAACTGCACAATGTGTGTGAAACCACTGAAACCATTAACAATTAAATAATTGTTTCAGCATTTCCTCCTCAGCGTCTCGAATTAAAAGAACTCCAATTTCTAAAACTTTGCACTTTATCATCAGAACCCATCAAAACCTGGTTTTATTGCATCAATTTTTATAATAAGCTGATTTTTTTAAATCATTATCAGCGTTTGTTGTACGTAAACAATTAATTTTAAGTCAAGTCTTGGCTGATTTCATGTCTGCATCTCAAGAATAAGCCGTTAAAGGCTTCCATTTAAGTCATGAAAACTGTACATACATGAACTCTGCGGTATATATCTTGGCCTTTGTCACATTACATTGACCCACTGTGCATTATTTTTGGTTGTGGGCGACTGCTTTGGCTTCATTAGTCAGGAGACTAAAAAAAAGTGGGATAGTTTTTTTTTTTTTACAATCTAACAATTATTCAGAAAAGAAGATTATAAAGTTGAATTAATATACTTCTTTTTTTTTTTTTGACCAGAATGTTCCTTTAACTCGCCCTCAAATTATCTGCAAATCTTTCTGTGTTTTTAAAGATGGGAGATAAATGTCACAACTTTGGTGTTAAAGTAAAAATAGTAAAGTAAAACTTAAGTCTGATGTGTCAGGAAAGAGCTAGTAAGGACTTTCATGGTGTTTTCGTGTAGCTTCATGACCTTTAAATAGTTTTTAATGATTCTGTTTTTTGTCTTTGGGATTTTGTGGGGAAGAAAAAAAATGATGATAACTTGTACTTATACTAATAATAGTAAACTTACTGCCTTCAAATTTTAAGTAGTAGAGCCATAGTCAATTCAATCTTTTTTTTCAATTCAAAATTTTTTTGTTTGATACACACTTTGAACCACTTTGAATAAAGAAAATCAAGTTTACACTCCGAAACTGATTAGAAATGACACAATATATTGTAACAAGCTAAAATGATTAAACCAAATAATGCTGAAAACATCATTTGCAATGTTGGGGAAACAATTTGAAAGTAGTTTTCAAGGAATTATTTATACTTTTAGTGTAAATGTCTAATGTGAGCCTAAATGTGAGCCTTTAATTGTTATTTTAAAAGCAGTGCATTATATTACAATGCATTGTTACTGAATATGTAATATGCATTGTTTTAATAGCCAATGTTTGTGAATATAGCACAGTTTGGCGGTTTAGATCAAACTTTAAAAGCAGGTTACATATCAACTTGCTGGAGATTGAAGTTTTATGCGAACCTCATTGCGATTACTGTGACAAGACAGTCAAATTAAAATATCATGTTTTGAAAGCAAATCTCTCAAAACGACAAGAAAACTAGTTCAAACTGGAGGTTTAAAGTCATTTTTCTCATTTTGTCATGTTCCATGTAATGGGTGGACCTGCTAAAACAGCTACGCTCAAGATGCATGCGCTTCAAGTTGTGAAGTCATGCAAAACCACATCCAGCAAAGACAAAAAAGTGAAAAGTACTGCCACTCTGAGCTAAAACTACAGTAATCCAAAGTCAAAATTTAAGGAAACATATGAGATTTTCAGATCTATAAAATTGATGCATCTTAGCTATCTTAGTGTCAAAAAATACCAAATCTTTACTTATCTTGACACTGCATAAGACTAGTAGTCTACACTTTACAGTTTAGATTTACAGTCTTCTAGTTGTAGTCGAAGCTCTCATGTAGAAGATTTAGAAGAGTTGCATAGATAAAATTTGCATATCTACAGTCTATCATCTATAGTAATCAACCCCCACCCACAAAAGTACATATGACCACTCCCCCTTCCGCACACGTACTGTGTATGAGTTATATGGCCGTACATTTGCGAGAACCACATGTACACGGTGTATACTGAGCCGAACAAAAGAAATGAAAGCAAAGTGCCAGAGCCTTGAGAAGGGGGAAGGGTTTTGTCAAGCTACAGGAAGCTGTGGTTGAGAAACTGAAATAGTTTGTGTGCGCGCTGCGTTTCCATGGCAGCCAGGTCGCACCACATACAGACCACTGCTAGTAACTCCCTTCCCCTTTCTGACCAAAGCCAACAGTTTTACATAGAGCCTGTCTTGGGTTTCAGGGAAAAGAGATGCTGAATATAATGCGAGAGTGTTTTTTGGTGTGCAATAATTGATTTGTTTTTATAACAAATACATTTGTTTGTTTTTAATAAACTGAGTAATTTAGTCGTCAGGGAACTCATTTATTTTAAATAATTAAAATAAAAAAAATGTTACTAAGCAAGTTATTATTTGTAAATAATTGAAGATATTGTCATTGCTACACTGTATTTGTATTTTTTTTAAACTTTAAAGTAGCTACTTAAAAGTACGTAAACCTTAATTATACAGTAACTAACAAATAAGCACAAGTCACCCTGCCATACCAAACAAGACCACAGGGAGACGCCAAAGGACTGCACACACAGATCCATGCAGAATAACTAAACGCACCAAAATACAAATGAAAAATGAAACCATTCTGAATTTGTGGAAACTCAGCGATCGGAAGGCGGCTCAAGGTCATCAGTGAATAGTTCCTCAGTCAGAATAAGCGAATTTGAAGCGTTTGATGCCAATATGTACATAACTGATCCTCAGAAACTTCTCCAAAACACGCTTCTTCAGCGAGCATCTGTTATAAAACATTACATTACATTAATTTTGACAACTACATGAATATACAGAACTGTGTTCAAGCAGAAATATGATGTTATAGCGATCCGTGCGCCATGAGTGCAGATAGGTTTGTTTGCACATCAATAACAACGGACACATGCGCACCTAGTGTATGACTCCTATATGTCACTATAATATAGTCTTTACTGGGCGGCACTAGGGGCTAGCACCTCCATTCATAAAAACGATGAAATAAAATAAAAACATTTTACTCACATGGATAACTCGTGCAATGCAGTATGTGACGTGATTTGCAGTCATTCGTAATGTCATAGCATTTTATTTTAAAAATGGATAACTTCGTGAACAAACATTACATTTATTTCCGCTTAATATAATGCAAATTATAATCAATACTGTCTACACTGAATGCGAAATTCCCAACAGCAAGCAGATTCCCCGTTATTCCTGATGTAGTCCAAGCTCTTTGCAACAGGCACTTTGTCACTTCAAGCAGTCACATCCGTATAGTGTTGTGCCACGCCGCATCCAGTGTAGGAAATATCACTGATTATAATCAATGGGCTCTACTGTCTTTTTTGCTTTCGCTCGCATCCTGTGTAGACACGGTGGCATGCTAATCACTTTCACACCAAATATACTTTAAAACAAACACCAGAGACCGCTTAGACAAATGTTTCACATGCTGAGAATGCTAACCTAACATATAAGTATATAAACCATAAATGTGAATCACTTAGGCTACCTCTGGGCGATTCATGATCAGGTAGATCTTGAACCACACGCTCATGCCGGAAAACTACTAATTGGCCAAAATGCTTAGTTTGACTTTTCGGAGATCATCTACTCTTCCCTGTGGATTACCTCTGAACTACTTTCTCTACGATCTGAATTTCTGCGTATTGAATTTTAGAATATTGAATTTGATGTTCCGAATTTCCTCTTCATCTTGAAAACTTGAAGCTGTATTTTTGAAAACTGGATATTTGCAGTCTAAGATTTCAGAACAAAAAATTCGCCGTTTGAAAATACATGTCTATAAAACTCTGCCATAAAAACATTCAGTTGTGTTAAATTTCAAATGTTTAATATTCAAGTAAAAAAAATAAAATTCAAGTTAAATGCCACATAATATTCAGTTTTGTTAAAAGACACTTGTCAATAATTCAAATTTACACAATACAAATTCAATTAGTTTTGTCATATTATAAGCTCCATACTCATTAAGTTACAATTTTCATCTGCTCAAGCAGAACATTAATGTCATCTTGTACTTCAGCAAAGTATATCTGGCTAAAACTAGCTAACGTTAAAGTTAGTGAGTCGATGCTATTACAAACCTAAATAGCAAACTGTTCTCACATCATGTACAGTGTAGGTCAAAAACACATAAACGAAGGTCTACATTTCAGTGCCTCTCCATATTAAACTGGTTAAATGTACATTCATTTAATCGTACCCTGCGATACATGAACAGTGTTGATCTGGGATGTTGTCATCTGCGATCGTGATGGCCGTAATATGAGACTTCTCCCGCTTGCATTGTGAATATTTCAGCATTCAGTATATATTTGGGTATATGGGTATTTCAGTAATACACTATTTAGAATATTTCATTGCTAGTTCATGATAACAAATGTAGGTAACTAACAATTGACATATGAAACCTTGTTAAGTGTTACTTGTATCTCTTTAAAAAAACAAAAAATGTAGTGTGTATATGTGTGTGTGTATATATATATATATATATATATATATATATACCTGTATATATATACTGTATATGGGTAGGTAAATACTTTACTTTGAAACAGATGTTGTTTTACAAAGATATATATATAGCTTTTTAGTGGATAGTGCTGCTTTTGGTTTGGTAATCCAATGGAAAATGTCAACTTTATGCATATAGACTGTTTTTGGATCCAGTTTAAACTATATGATCATGTCACTTAGGTGGCAATTCTGCTGACCAATCCATCAATCCCACGCAACCCACTTCTCTTACCCCTGCCTCACCTCCCATTAAAGGTAACCACAACAACACGCATCACCACAGCAGACACACACTCCAGCATTATATCTCTCTCAATCAATCTGTCCCACTCATGGCCTCTGACCTCCATCTTCCCATCATGCTGCACTGCAAGCTCTCCTTCAAAATCACATCATCAGTGCTGCAACCATGGATTAGTTGTGTCATGAGCAGTGTTATATTTTTATTGTGTTACTAATATTAATATATTAGGTTTTTCCTATTGTTTTTCAAAAAGTCAACTTTTTCCATTTCTTCAACTTTTGACTTTTCTTTTCGGCTGGTGTCATCTAGGTCACATGATAAATAGATATGAGTCACGCATATGGGGAGCAAAATAATATTAACCAATAGCCAAGGCATTATTTTAGACTACTGTTGCAAACAATTCAAAAAGTGAATGGCATTTCATGTTGACTTTAAAGTCTGTAAAGTTTAGTTCTTTTAAATGAATAATGTTACCCCCTATCCTGTGAACAGATGCCAACATACACAGCATTCCCACACGCATCCCGCAACAACACAGTTTAACCACACAGTCATCAGAACCAGTTAATGTGCTTGGATCACTTGCAGGTGAATAGATGTAGCTCGTCTTCCAATAATCAATCCTATTCATTCGTTTCTGAAAACATTTGCATTATAGAAAAGTATTTTTTAATATAATCAAGACCAAAATTTTAATTTTTATTGCATTTTTTTGTAACTTCACAAATAGGTCTGGACAAAACAAATTAGCATCATTGATCACGGCATCATTACTTGAGAGTATTTGAAATAGCTTTACAGTACAATAAATGTTTTAGCTGTTTCTAGTTGTCACCGTTATAAAAACATTTAAGTTTAGTTCTTTTATATGAGTGTGTTTTTCTGGGAACAGAGCTCAAAACAACACAAAAAACTCCTGCACTCAGCTTTCAACAACATACCACACAGTCTTCATCTCAACCAGGTAATGAGGTGCTCAGTTTATTTGTAAATGAGTAAGTTTGAGTTTTATTAATATTAATGTTATTGTTATTTTAATAGGACATTTTAATAATAGTTTTCTTGTATTCTCAAAATCCCATTTCTAAAAATTCTTAAACATCATATATCTGTTCTCTATCTATCATTTTCTCATATATCTACACGTTCCTCTGTAAAAGTGGTTTTCAACTATGGATCACATGTCTGTTCTGACTGCGAAAAAAAACATTGCTAAATGTCAGTAATAAAATTAAGCTAGCCACATAATCATGTATAGTTAGGATAGCAAAGTCTTAAAAAAAGCACAAAAACAAACAAACAAGAGAAAACACTTCCTTTTGGCTCAAAAGCCATTGACTCTGCTGATTAAAGGTTCAGCTGCATAATGTAATTCTGTTGAAGGTAATTTAATATGGTTTTATCTCACACTTTCCACAGGTGCAGGAAAAAATGGTGCTGGTAAGTGTCACTCTATTTCTGTTATGCTGTTCCTGATGTGAACATATCGGTCAGAAAATATATATCAGTGAAAACTTGATATGTTTACATATTTCTTCATGCTGTCGATCCATCATTACAGACCCTCAAACAAATCTCTCCACTCCCACCACTTCACCAAACACATCTGCAGATACCTCCGAAGGTAAAACTGACATCAAACTCACACTCCTGCATTATTATACTCTCACGCACAATCTCTCACACTCTGACCTCCAGCTTCCCATCATGCTGTGCTACGAGCACACATCACTGAGCAAGAGGTGTTATTTGTTTGTTTGTTGAGACCCAAGCAAGCCCTTTTAGGCTACAGCAGGCTTCACATTTACAAATCTTGCAATATAGTTACTAATATAACATATATAACATTCAAAAAAAAAAAAAGATCCAGTTCCTGTGCTGCAAGCAATTATGCATTTATTTAGTTAGTTAGTTATTTCCAAAATGTAACGTGTAGTTTTGTAACATTTTGGCCTTTTTTTTCTTAATTTTGAACATTTAAAATCAACATGAAACCAAAATAGACAATTAGTACTTTATTAGTACACAATCCTGGTCCTATTATACACAATTTGTCAGTGTATGCTCTCCTGAAAGGAAATAAGTACATGCCTTGATAATCTTTCATCAAAATGTCATAACTTTTTCCATCTCTTCAACTTTTCTTTTCGGCTGATGTTATCTACTGTAGGTAGATAAATAAACATGATAAATAAATATGAGGCATACATACAGGCAGCAAAAATAATATTAACCAATAGCCAAGTCATTATTCAACCTGGTCTCATAAAAATACGTACCTCTGGGTACTTTTCTGCAACACCGTTTTTACGTACAATACTGCACGTTTCGCCGCAGTTTCAAAGAGGAATATCCACTGAGTGGCGCTAAAACACGGGTTCAATACGTGAACCCTGGCACGTTTTTATTACGTTGATATAGGTATGTATTGCTGTGTTTTATTACATTGCTTCAGGTACGTATTTCGGCGGTTCAGAATTCAAATATCCGGGGACTGTCGCTAAAAGTTAATGCTCTATCGTGTTGGAAATATGCCCTACACCAAACCCAACCCTAAACCTACCCGATAGTGCTAACAAATGCAAAACTGATATAAAAACATTTGTTGATGCAACCGTGCCATTTGAACTAACTTATATGCAGATTTGAACTGTTTTGTTTACACGGGATTCGAACCGGAGCTCCTCTCAAGTATGTCTCCGTACTCCGTGAGCTATACCGAACAAACCTACCGTTTATATAAACCCATAGATATGAAGCTGGATATGTGCGATGCAAACATTTAAAAGCATCAGTTTTCAAATCTCCCACCATATTAAAATTGTTTTGAAGTCATAATATTCTTCAAGTAATTGTGAAAAAAGTGCCCCCAGGTACGTTTTTGCCATGAGACCAGGTAGTCATTATTTTAGGCTACTGTTGCAAGTAATACTGTACATAAGATAAGCTAATATCATGTCTGTAAAGGTTGGTTTTGTATGCACTGGAGTTGGTCTCTCAGCAATTGTATATCCCATACTGGACTACCCATAATGAACTAGCTTTTCCCTTTAGCATTAATGCTCCTCACCCACATAAACAGCTCCAGAAACCCCAAAATCACATGACAAAAGTACTGATTATCCTTTTTTTGTCATACTCTCACAGCCAGTGCTATAGTCAATCACAAGTTTTTGAAGATGATTTTCTAAAATGTCATTGCAAAACCTCATTTGGCAATATTCATATCATTTAATATGGCTAATGCCAATACATTATTTACTGTTAAATATCAATGAATTAAAATCAACTATAAAAAATAGATTTTAAACATTCACTCATATTTATACTAAAGTATTTAACATCATATTTCATGTTTTTTTTTTCTCCCACATCTGTTTAAAAAAAGGTAACACTTTAGTATATGGTCCAATTCTCAGTATTAACTAGTTGCTTATTAGTTTGCATGTTACTAGCATATTGGCTGTTTATTAGTACTTATAAGGCACATATTAATACTTTATTCTGTATGACCATGTTTTAGATCCCTTAATCCAACCCCATACCTAAACTTAACAACTACCTTGCTAACTATTAATAAGCAGCCAATAGGAGTTTTTTGAGGCAAAAGTCGTAGTTAATAGTTAGTTAATAGTTAGAATTGATTCAAACTAAAGTGTGACCAAAAAGGGTTTATAAGATAAGCGTTTTATTTGACCAAATACTAATTATCATATAGGGAGCACTTCTAATCATAAAGAAACTCAGACAAACACAATAGTCTCACCCGCACACACCATGCAACAACAAAACACCAACACCACTGCAGGTAACTGTGTATTTAACATTATATTTAATGCTTTTTTTTTCATATCTGTGATAAAAGTGTAAGATAAACATGTGATTTGATCAAATACTCATCATATAGGGAGCACTTCTAATCAGAAAGAAACTCAGACAAACACAATAGTCTCACCCGCACGCACCATGCAACAACAAAACACCAACACCACTGCAGGTAACTGTGTATTTAACATTATATTTAATGCTTTTTTTTTCATATCTGTGATAAAAGTGTAAGATAAACATGTGATTTGATCAAATACTCATCATATAGGGAGCACTTCTAATCAGAAAGAAACTCAGACAAGTACAACAATCTCACCCGCACGCACCATGCAACAACAAAACACCAACACCACTGCAGGTAACTGTGTATTTAACCTCATATTTCATGTTTTTTTTTCATATCTGTAATAAAAGTGTAAGATAAACATTTGATTTGATCAAATACTCATCATATAGGGAGCACTTCTAATCAGAAAGAAACTCAGACAAACACAATAGTCTCACCCGCACGCACCATGCAACAACAAAACACCAACACCACTGCAGGTAACTGTGTATTCAACATTATATTTCATGCTTTTTATAATTTACCAGTTTATCAGTTTTTCTTCAGTCTATAACATGTAAATAAATTAGCATATTTTTGAGCTTACACATTTTATGGTAATAATAATTCTTTTTTTTTTGAACAATACAAAAATCTGGTATTATGTTGGGTCACTGACGTCCAACCTTCTCATACAGGACTATATACGGGCCCAATTTATATTAAGTGTAAATAACTACTATGTGCTCACATTTAAATTAATCATTTGATGCAATGCACTTATTGTATACATACAGTACATGTTTTACTTATATTTAAAAGTACCTGCATGTAATTACATATTTAATTAATATGTGAAACCTGTTCCTAACCTGAGCCGTGTCCCACCTCAACAGCAGCAAAAGTGTTTTGCAATACAATATGAGCACGATAAGTACATTGTACCTAACAATTAGTGTTTTTTCAAATATAAAGTGGGACCAGATACTGCAAACATTTTATTTGATCAAATAACCATTATCTTTTAGGAAATGGTTCTGAATGTAAAAACCTGAATTGCACATCGATCTTACCCACACGCACCACCTCACAACAACAAAACACCAGCACCACTGCAGGTAACAGTGTATTTAACATTACATTTTTTTTATTTATTTATTATTATTATTATTAATTTACCAATATGGAATTTTCTTCATTCTAAATATCTTTAAAAAATAAATAAATAACAAATAAAAATCTTAATCCTGTGCTAAAATAATAATGTATTTTTTTACTATTTTATATGAAATATGATATAATAATGCCTGTTGTACTGTTGTAACCTTTTTTTCTTTGGTCTTTTTGCGATAGTTTTCTTAATTTTTTTTTAGACTTAGTTTGTAGACGAAGAGTTAGAACATTCTATCAACAGCACAGGTTACTAGTAGCTTTTAGGTGAATAGATGTAGGTAGTCTTCCAGCTATCAAACATATTCGTTTCTGAATGCATTTGTATCATAGAAAAGTTGTATTTAAGTCATTTTAATGTAATCTATACCAAACTGAATTTTTAACAAATCAAATGGGCATCATTGATCACAGCATCATTACTTCTGCCATTACTTTAGAGTATTTGTTAAAATAGCTGTTACAATACTTACCATGTTTCAGCAGTTTCTAGTCATCACCCTTTGGACCACATGTCTGTTCTAACAGCAGAAAAACATTGCTAAATGCCAATAATAAAATTAATATAGCCACATAATAATGCATAGTTAAAACAGCAAAGTCTTATAAATTAAAAAAAAAATGGTGCTGGTAAGTGTCACTCTATTTCTGTTATGCTGTTCCTGATTTGAACATATCGGTCAGAAAATATATATCAGTGAAAACTTGATATGTTTACATATTTCTTCATGCTGTCTATCCATCATTACAGACCCTCAAACAAATCTCTCCACTCCCACCACTTCACCAAACACATCTGCAGATACCTCCGAAGGTAAAACTGACATCAAACTCACACTCCTGCATTATTATACTCTCACGCACTCTGACCTCCATCTTCCCATCATGCTGTGCTACGAGCACACCATCACTGAGCTTTTTATTTAATCTGATCTTATTTTATTTTAAGCATGAGAGAGACCCAAGCAAACAATTTTACATATTTGACATCATATCTAAGTTGACATCTCTCTTCTAATCACTGCACCACAAAACATTTCAACCACACAGTCTGCAGCTATATCAGGTAATGAAGCTCTCAGGTTACTTGTAGGTGAATATAGCAGGTGTGCCAGTAGTCTTCAAACAAACTTATATTCTGTACTGGACTAAATCTTTTTACAGTCTCGTTTAAAAATGTGGCAATTTTGTAGAGATGTAGTGTTTATTGTTATGCTGTTTTCAAATTTAAAAAAAGTGTAAAATTAAGTAAAAGGTCTATTATTTGGTATGTTAATTATTCTGTTAATAATTATATTATAAATTTTAATGTTAATTTGTAACATATTTTAAAATATTTATTTTTAAACATTAAAAAATATTTCACTAATATCAAACAGTTTTTCAACTTCTACCTCCCATAAATGTTATTGTTGACGTCAAAGGTTGTGCACCTTCACTTTATGGTATTTTAGTGCAAATTTGTAATTGTGTAATTTACCATGGCTAATGCTAATATTAGTACAATATATAATATGTTTGTAAATTACATAAAGTGATGCTCAATATAATATACTCCACTAATATACTCCACTATCACCAGGTCGAGGTAACGATTTGCCTCTTGAAATGCGTTATTGATTCATCAGTTGAGCTTTGCAGTACATCTGTAGTGTGGTCAGTCATGTTTAACTCCTCTGTTGTCAACTAGCAACTCAACCAGGTGAAAGAAATGACACCACCTCACCTCCAAACACCACCATCACACCTCTCACCTCCACGCACCCCAGCTCAACCTTACACGCATTCACCAACATCACGGGTAACACCACACTGTTTGTGCTCTCTGAACAAATGACTAATGTTTATTGGGACAAAAAATGCTTGATTTATGGTTATTAACATTTTTATATGTTCTTTTCTCAGGTACCACAGAAATCCCATGTGAGTATTTGTTTATTGCACCTGTTGTGTGAAGTCAACTTTAGTTGTTTTGTTCAAGACATAGTTTTGCTTTTTATAAATTTGTGAATGTTCATATGCACTTTCACACAGGTCAGTACAGCCTTACGGAGAGTGTGAACGTAACAATAGCCCGTGTGGTGCATATCAGTGGCTTCGAGAACCAAACATACACAATCAGGATAAAGGAGAAGCACAATGAGATCCGTGTCCAAGAAATATCTAACCAAACTGCCTTTGAAATACTGTTTGAATGGTTAAAACCATGCACTGTGTACAACATCAGTGTGGATGGCTGCAAACCCAATGGAAGCGAGACTTTTATTTCTAGTGGTAAGTTTTACCCAGGCAGAATATTTTTGCATGAATTAGAACATATTAAACTAGACTCAGATGGGACATACTTTACAGTGACCTCAAATAGTATTTAGATGCTTAAGTCACACTCAAAAATTTCCAATTTGTTCACACTTAACAGTTTGATATTTTGTTACATAATGCAATGATATTCATTTTTAAATGTGATTTTTAAGTGTCCAAATACTCTTTGGGGACTTTGTATTATTTCTTTTGACAGAATAGAGAATGATAACAATTCATATATGTCAGGTTATTGAACTGTCTATTTGTATTATGTTGCTGAATAGATGGTGTGATGTAATGCGTCTCTTAATTTTTGTACAGAAAAAATAGATACTGTTCTAAAAACTGTTGTGACAAATGTGACTGAGAAGAAAGTGTGTTTGAAAGGAGAATTCACTGGTATTAAATGGAATCTTACTGAATGTGTTGAAATAACTGAGCAAAACTCCTGCACATCCACACACACCATTAAACTGGACAAATGTAACTACACAATGAATGTCCTCATGCCCACAGGTTGGTTTTTAGATGTACTGTTATTCAATTTAGTTTTCGACATGACATTTTTTTTTTTTTTACGGCTTTAAACACAAATGTTTGTATAATGCTGAAATACTAAATACAACCACACTCTCATTCATGCTGTTGAATTGATAGTTTTTCAGTTCATGAGTGTGAATTTGAATAGGCCACAACACACAGGAGGCCGAATTGGAAATTTAATGACACATAAATTGCAAAATTTATGTATTAAATATAATTATATACATGACACGTTTTTATAGATGGCATTTAAAACACTGATTATTAATATCTGTTTCTGGAAATACCTCACAGGTTTTGTGTATCATAAAAAAGATTAAAACAAACTTGTACATCAATGTCACGCCATTTTAATTTTGCTTGAATTTTAATTCTGCATTCTGTTTGCTGCCTTAATTCAAATTCATTGTAGTTTTTTTCCTGTGTGTTGCAGATGTGTGTGATGTGAGTTGAAAAGTTTGATCTGCTTTTTTATTTATATACGTATATATATATATATATATCATCTGAATGTTTCTGTTTCAGTCAAGCCTAACATAACCTTCAAAAAAACTATTCCCTCTAAGTTTGAATGGACAAATAAACCAACACAATGTAATGCTATGCTTAACATCAATTGCACCAATGACGAGAACAGTAAGTAATGGAAATGTTTTGATGGCACTGTGAATTCATAATACATATTTTTTATTGTGTAATCATACTATATTTACATTGATTATTAAACAGACAAGCAGATGATGAATGAGTTTTCTCTTCTTTATTTGTCAGAAAATGGCACAATTTATGGTTTAAATGCCTCAGTGTCATTATTACCAGACACACTGTATTCTTGCATTGGAGTATATCCTTATGAGAATCAATCCATCAAGAGTAATGAGCTCTCCTTTGAAATAAATTGCGGTGAGTTCCTATTAAACATACAGCACTGGTTTAAAGTCCTTCTTTCTTTCTCTCCTGCACACCTGGGAATATTTACCAATAATGTCATGATGACTAGCAAAAAAGGTTGTTTTGCATGTAGTTTACATGTACAATACATTGAGCCTAACAAGTATTTAGACTTTTAAGGTGCATTTAAAGCAATATGAATGTCTTTAAATTAAATTATATAATATAATATTAAACAATGAAAAGGTTTTCATCATTATATTATAACAACATCTTTAGTTTCGTCCCTTTAATTTGTCTCAATTTGTCAATTCTATTAATTAAAAATTATGATTTTAGTGTGTTTTTTTGTCTGTCTGTCTGTTTGTTTGTTATATCCTAAAGATGCTATTTTTTAACAAAAGTTGATATTAGTTATTTAATATGTTTCTAATACGCTGACAAGTGTGACTGAGCAATCCAAATAAGACCACTGTAAAATAGTTTGTGTTTAAAGAGCCTTGTGTACAATCGTCTATGAATTGCAAAGATTTGTTTTGCATTGTTTGTGATTTCTATTTTCCTTTCATACAGGTTGGCAAAAGAATGGACGATTTAAGAACACAACCAAAGACTCTTTTGAAATATCCTGGAATTCACTTGATGGAGATGAATGCTCAGGCATTACATGGGACAGTTATTCAGCCAGCTGCAAATTCCATGATAGTCATCGTAAGAGCTCACATTTTCCTGCTGTTTTGCCAATATAGCATCACTGAAACATGTCAGCTATAATTTTTCTGTAAAAATGCTTCAAGTTCTTTTATGATATTAGTAGACATAGTAGATGTTTTATGCCTTATTCAGGTATGTTTTGGCTTTCAGGTGAGCACTGTACAAAACACAAAAATGGCATTGGCACAGACTGCAGTATTACAAACTTATTGCCATATAAAAACTATGAATGCAGTATTTATGCAGAATTCAAAAGTAAAAAATATTTACTGTTCTCCGGTACGAATGCAACACTTTCTACCAGTAAGTCGTTTTTTCGATATTTTTCCCACAAACAATCTTGATTTAAATTGTATTACTTAATCTACATTTTGCTGGAAAGAGATTTGCCCAAATACAGTCCTTTTAGTGTTTTTTATGTGCTTGTTTTTCTGTCCCATTTTCTCTGTCATTCTTCATTTTGCGGTTATTTACTGAATATTAAATTTTGTCCTTATCAGCTTTGAACTTTTCTCCACCCCATGCATTTTCTATCTATAATGTGTATTGTTAATAATGTAATCTTCACAATCAATCAACAGTTTACTGCTAAATGGAATTTTCATAAATGTTGCAATTAAATGCTAATTGTATGTAAATTATATGCCATTGTGTGTCTAAATTATGTTTTGTTTCATTCTGTTTGATAGAGCCCGATTTCAAATCAGACATTGAAGTAACACACCCTTTTCACAATTCTCTTGATATAATATGTGAAAACAAGGGAACAAAGATAGTCTGGAATGGAGAAAAAGGAACATTCATGGCTGAAATCACATACAATGGAGAAACTATCTCTAAAAACCGCACCAAATGCTCATTTACATTTCCAGACCTTTACTACCTTACAACATATGATGTGAAGGTATTTGAATCCCTCCTAATGTCTTTCAGCATCTGTCATTCTATGGGATTACATCTCTGCCACAATTTTGTGCGCGAAAGATCATATTTTGAGCGTGCAAAAGTGTTTTGTGGAGAAAATGTTTGTCTCGCAAAGAAGAAAGTATTTAGAGAACACAAAAATAAATTTTGCATTTAAAATAAGTTTTTGGATGTGTGCAGACCTTCTCTTTTGCCGGTGCAACGTTTCACTAGCTTGCTCACCTGATGCCCGCCCTCAGTGCTCTCTAAATGCCAACGTCTCGCTTGCTCAACACAACCCAGCGTTACAATATGCCATAATTCCAGCCAATCAGAGACGAGGCTGCTAAATTTGTTTTGTTTGTTCTGGGGTTTGTGCTGATTTGTGCTGAATTTGGGGTTTGTGCTGATCACAATCGAATCCTTTCATTATAACATACAGAGCGTATACATGACGATGTTAATAATATATTAATTGCGCAGTGTGAGATTCATTGGTCATAACAGACCTTTGTGAGATCGCGATGAACAAAGAGTGACAGTCTTTTAGTGTTTAAAAAGGAGCGCTCTTTGCGAGCTTTCTAGACAATAATCCATTTAAGTCAAGTCAAGTTTATTTGTACAGCGCTTTTCATGATACAAATCATTGCAAAGCAACTTTACAGCAAATTAAGTTTCTACAATATTTAGTGGTAGCTTATCAGTGGTGACTGTCAGTTGATGTACATATGGCAGAAATAAAATAAATAACATATGGCTGTTAATAAAACAGACGATGAACACTATTAACAGCAATTATTATATGATGCAATCAAACTTATAGCAAAATATGGTAGTTCTGTATGTTGTTTCAGGATTGGCATCATCTGAGGTCCTCTGAGGGGTTGGCATCATCTCATCTCAGGTGTTCTGGATCCAGACTGAAGCTTGTGTAAATCCTAGTTACCACGAGATGTCAATCCCGTGGCAAAAAACAGAGAAACAAATGGAGACATAATTAGCGTAGCTGCTGTTCCAACCAAGCAAAATTGATTTGTTTAACCCAAACTAAAGAATAATAATGTGCATTTGATCAGATATAACTGCAGTACAAGATTATGAGATGCATTATTTGAATGCCAAAAAGATGTGTCTTTAATCTAGATTTAAACAGAGAGAGTGTGTCTGAACCCTGAACGTTATCAGGAAGGCTATTCCAGAGTTTGGGAGCCAAATGCGAAAAAGCTCTACCTCCTTTAGTGGACTTTGCTATCCTAGGTACTACCAAAAGTTCAGAGTTTTGCGACCTTAGGGAGCGTGATAGATTGTAGCGTGGTAGAAGACTAGTTAGGTAC